CTCTTCCTCCACCACACCTCCACCCAACATATTTCACCTGAACATTAACCACTCTAACGCTAACCTAACCTATTATTACAATTATCATCGTCATTATTATTATTATCATCATCATTATTATCATCATCATTATCATCATTACCGTATTATTAAATCTAAACCGAAGTAGAGCTCTTATATACAGTATTTCGTAATCCCTTGTTAACACTGATGCATTACAAGGTGTGTCACTCTCTTCTTTCATTATATAACTTAATGGTATAATTCTATGGTACAATGAGTGTTTTAATATTATTTTAACGTTATGTAGACTTATGTGGATTTTTTCTCTTTTTTATAGAATAGTAATATACATACATACAGACATAATTAAATACATGCACAGATACGTAAACACACATACCAGTATACTCGTACATACAATTAAGCATACACCTAAACATACACACATAAACACAGACACATACTTAAACACACACACACACACACACACACACACACACACACACACACACACACACACTGCAGAAACAAATGTGCTTTTCTACTAGTGTGTTCCCCTTCCACAACAAGGTCCCATATTTATACAGTTCCTGGTTTAGTAATCTCACTTCACATTATTTACCAAACTTAAACCTCACCGGACCTAACCTAACTTAACCCAACCTAAACCTAACGTAACATCAACCTAATCTAACCTCACCGGACCTGACCTAACTTAACCCAACCTAAACCTAACGTAACATCAACCTAATCTAACCTCACCGGACCTAACCTAATTTAACCCAACCTAAACCTAACGTAACATCAACCTAATCTAACCTAACTGGACTTAACCTAACACTGAGGTAAGGAGACCCTCTGCTTGTAACCGGTTTGAATTGAACATCGTGAGAGCAGCGTTTGGTTGTTGTGGGGATCTATCACGCCCCCACAACACTGCCCCACAACACACACCACAACACACCCCCCACCACATTCCTACAACATCCCCTCCCCCACAACGAGTGCCTCAAGGACACGCTCGCTGGGGTCACAAGAGGCACCAAGAAGGGGCGTGAACAGACTTGGAGACTAGCCAGCCAAGCCCAGCCACGGTAACACGCCAGCCAAGCCCAGCCACGGTAACACGCCAACCAAAACCACGTCAACCAAGCCAAATAGCCAGGGTAACACGCCAATGTGGACCCGCGTGTGGCTAGACCAAGTGTCTCCTGCAGCAGAGTCAACGTTAATTACCACAAGTTTCCTCCATTTTAGTCACATAAGTGCTACTATAGACCAGCCAGTCCCCCGTCCAAGATACCGCCAAGTCCAAGGGATCGTAATCTTAAGTCCAAGGGATCGTAAGCTAAGTGACCGTAATAGTAGTCCACGGAGTCGTAACTTGAGACACTACGGGTGAAAATAAATAGCTACCAAACCCGGCAAAGATCATATGTACTGTCTGTGAATATCAAACGTGGTTATAATTCACAACTGTTGGGAGTTACCGTATTACAACTATGGCGTGGGTCTTCCATCGTGTTTACGTGTTAATGAGTGTATCTACGTGTTAATGAGTGTATCTACGTGTTAATGAGTGTATCTACGTGTTAAGACCTTAGTTATTGAAGCTTAGTTATACAATAATTTTTTATCATTAACCAGATACATACAGGGGAAGATAATAAGCATTTCAGAATCATCAATGGACTCAGCAAACACAAACATCAAGGGCCTCATCTCATTCCCGAAAGGTGAATTTATTTTATCGCTAATAAATAAATCACAGAGACATCACAATAAAACAATGACTGGGTTTATTTGTGCAGCTGGAAACAAACAAACTACTTTTTCTACCATTCACAAACACCTTCTCTCACACATTACTAAACAAACACACTACAGAGAGGTAATAAAACCTCCCCGTCTACCTTCCTTCCTGTTACCCCGTGTAGGGCCATCAGACAGACAGCAAAAAGGTAAATAAACACAGGAGGTGATGAGGCATAGGGCAGCCAGGCAACAGCGTGTTATGGTGCGGCGCCTCTGAGACTGCCAGTGTGAGGGAAACAGCTGAGGGGTGATGGATGTACTGTGTTGACGGGGGGGCCTTTACCCCTTTGAGTCCTGGTGGGTTAAATCATCGTCGTCAGGGTTAAATCATCGTCGTCAAAGGGTTAAACACCACCATACCCTGGGTTTATCATGGCTTAGGTTGATTTATGCATCTTAACCCCACCCCCCAACGTTACAAGGATACGTTAGGTTAGGTTATACTAAAGATATCATTGTAGACCTTATCTAACTGTCAATAACAATTAAAATATCACACACACACACACACACACACACACTTACAAATCATAATATAAAATTTCTACGGATCTCTCTCTCTCTCTCTCTCTCTCTCTCTCTCTCTCTCTCTCTCTCTCTCTCTCTGCTTCACCTCTGTCCTGTTGTGTAAGTTACGATACATTGTCTTGTACGATATTGAGGGCGACCATACGTGAATAGTCAGGCCACAGCGAGGTGTTTGGTAGGACAGGATTGATTGGTGTACCTTAAGTGATTCACAGACCGTGCATAGCTTGTGTATTGTCAAGGTGTGTGTGTATTATTCCCGTGTGTGTGTGTGTGTGTGTTTGACTAGCTCTCCACTTGAGACAGCCTAAGACAATAAGACGGGAATAAACTGTTGGGAATGAAGGGGTGTGGTGGTGGTGGTGAATGTGGTGTTGCTGTGAGAAGGTTGTGGTGATGACTGTGGTGGTGATATGTGGTAGTGAATATGGTGCTGGTGGTGGTGGTGTAGTGACTGATGGTTTGTAAGGTTATGGTAGAAATGGTGGTCATGGTGGTGAAGTGGAGACCAGGCCAGCCCGACTGTACCTGAAAAGCTATTTTGGTGTGGCGACTCCCTTACCTGGGGAGGGAGGGGGCGGGGTGGAGACAAGGTGCGCCACTGCTAGGAGAAGGTGGAGGGTAGGGGGCGTTACTGCTAGGAGGAGGAAGTAGGGGGTGCCATTGCTAGGAGGGGTGAGGTAGGGGCGCCACTGCTAGTACGTTGCGGGAGGGGGTGGGTAGGGGAGTGAAGGAAGGTGTGGCTGGAGGTGATACGAGCCCCAGTCCTGATAGACCCTATATACATTTCCTCTGGCATCGGTACATGGCAGACATAAACAAGCCTGGACCTGGTATCCTAGTTCACGGTTGAGTGTGAAGTTTATTGAATCTTTTGCCTAACTTAACCCAACCTAACCTAACCTAACCTAATCTAACTTAACCCAACCTAACCTAACCTAATCTAACTTAATCTAACCTAACCAAGAGTACGGGGGTAACTATATCATCTTCAGGAGGAGGGAGGTAGAGGGTGAGGGGAAGGGTAGAGACATCTTGAATGATGTCATTAGTTAAGGGGAGTGGAAGTGTGAGGGTGGAGAGGGTGTGTGAGGGGTAAGAGGAAGAATAACTGAGAGGAGAGAGGAAGAAGAGGGTAAGTGAGAGGAGAGGAAGAGGGTGAGTGAGAGGAAGAAGAGGGGTAAGAGGAAGAATAACTGAAAGGAAAGAGGACGAAGAGGATAACTAAGAGGAAAAGGAAGAATGATTGAGAGAAGAGGGGAGAGGAAGAAGGAAGTGAATGAAGAGAGAAGAAAAAAAGAGGTGGGAAGCGTGTCCCAGAGGCAGGAAATGGGCGTGGCAGGCAGTATTTCTGGGGGCAGAGAGGGCGTGTCGAAAGGGGGGGGGCATGGCAGGGGGAGGGCGTAGCATAGGAAGAGGGAGGAGGGAGGATGTAAACGGATGGAGGGAGGGGGACGTGTCGGGGAGGGGGACGTGTCGGAGGAAGGGGGCATGGCAGGGGAGGTGGACGTGTCGGAGGGAGGGGGACGTGTCGGAGGGAAGGGGGCATGGCAGGGGAGGTGGACGTGTCGGGAGGAGAGGGATGTGTCGGAGGAGAGGGACGTGTCGGGGAGAGGGACGTGTCGGAGGGAGGGGGGGACGTGTCGGAGGAGAGGGGGAACGTGTCGGAGGGGAGAGGGGGACGCGTGTCGAGGGAGAGGGGAGAGGGGGACGTGTCGGAGGGAGAGGGGACGGGGGACGTCGGAGGGAGAGTCGGAGGAGACGTCGGAGGGAGGGGGACGTGTCGGAGGGAGAGGGGGACGTGTCGGAGGGAGAGGGGACGTCGGAGGGAGAGGGGGACGTGTCGGAGGGAGGGGCAGGGTGGCGGAAATACTATAAACAAACTCTCTGGTTGTTATTTATCTGGGTCATGGAGTAATCAATTTGGGTGTTAAATACGGTTCACGATGTAGAGTTAAGGATTTTTGTTGTTGTTGTTAAGAAATAAGAGAATTTATTTAATCACATTTACCCTCATAACAGCGTATTTAATTACATTGGGAGAGAGAGAGAGAGAGAGAGAGAGAGAGAGAGAGAGAGAGATCTGGCACCTGGCCCCAAGTTCACGGACGCTGGCACTCCTCCTGTTAATACTGGCACTACTGGTTCTATCATTGTTATGGCACTCTAGGTCACTCTACAGGGAAGTGATACTGACATTATCTGACCTTGACCTGACCAGCTAAGCAAGTCTAAAGTAGGAAAATTCAGATGAGGCTGTGTGTGTGTGTGTGTGTGTGTGTAATACCATTAAAATATGTATTAAAAATATTCAGAGTAAATGTGGAGCAAGAAAATAGAAGAAAATGTGTTTAATAATCAGCCAAACAGAGGCCGCCGTTCCGTACAGCCATACCTGTTGTCTTTCGTGTACGATAGCAAGGGCTCAGTTTAAGTTCTTTCGTTAAAACTTCCACAAAAACGTAACTAAGGTGTTGGAAAATTGCCGTCGGTGTAGATAAGTAACAACAATAAAATAAATACGTATTTAAGAAGGAAAAATTTAAAATGCGAAGTATTATAAAGAAAAAAAACTTTAAAAATCTCATGAACGTCAAAACCAAGAATATATTTATCCATATTTTCTCATTATCACTATTATTCCCCTTTAACAGAAATAATTCTTAGGATAAATAAAAATACTAACTGACCTACCGAGATCAAGAGGAAGACAAATCGCCGAGGAGGTGAAGAAGAATAGGAAGGAACTAACCCCACTCAGCAGTCCAGCACCATGTTTGGGTTTCTGAAGGATGTTGGGGGTGATATACTCCAAAACGCTCTTGATACCTCCCAAGATGATAGAAATCGGTGGGTGTACTATAAAAGCTGTTTTTTAATGAGTGTGTGTGATTTAACTGTGTAATTGTGTGTTTTAACTGTTTTAATGTATGTTTTTTATTAAGTGTGTTTTTAATGTTTGTGTTTTATTAATCATTTTAAGTTTATTTGTGTGTTTTAAGTTTAATTTTGTGTTTGTGTTTTAAGTTTTATTGTGTGTGTGTTTTTTATGAATGGTTTAAGTTTCAGTGTGTGTTTGTGTTTTATTGAGTTTTAACATTTGTAGTTTGTAGTTTCTAAGAAGTCACGTAGCTAGTTGTCACGGCTCAGTGTGGTAGGTACAGCCTGCTATTACTAACACTTAAATAGGTGTGTGTGTGTGTGTGTGTGTGTGTGTGTGTGTGTGTGTGTGTGTGTGTGTGTGTGTGTGTGTGTGTGTGTGTGTGTGTGTGTGTGTCCCTACTGAATAACTTGCAAGGTGAATTAATGCCAATCTATGCATAATAAACATCAACTAATTTGCATACAGGCTTTCTTATAGCCATCTTCACCCCTGAATTTAATCAATGCTTAATATCACGTCTAAAGGATTTTTTTTACTTAATTCTGCAAAATATTTAAAGGTGAAATGATATACATATAAAAGTGAATTAATTCCTTTAGATATGATGGACAAGCATGTTAGTATGTCATTATATACCTGCCCAACACACCTGAAGATTCCAGGGGCGGATCCAGGGGCGGGGGAGGGAGCCTAACTCTCCCCTCCCCCCCCAAAAAAAAATCAGCTAGGTGGGCTCGCCATGTAACCCCCACCCAAAACTTCTTGGACCCCCCTTATGATATTTCTGGATCCACCCCTGGATTCGCCCTCCAGTTTATTTCACCCTAACGCTAGACTAACCTAACGTAACCAAAATTAACCTAACCTACTCTTTCACCCATAATAAACCCCCTCATTCCCGTGTATTGCTGACGTCACCCTGCATGCTGACATCACATTGCATGCTGACGTCACCCCTGCATGTACTAATGTTTGCATGTCACTCTCTGCCTAGTCGGGGGTCGAGCCGGGACTACCACACTGGCGGGGGTCAACAACCAGGTGGCGGGGGTCAACAACCAGGTCACGGGTACAAGGATGTAACTGACCAGGTCACCGATGAGTTGGGAACACTGAGGTCAGTATTGGGTATAGAGAGGCCAGTATTATGTATAGAGAGGTCAGTATTATGTATAAGAGGTCAGTATTATGAATAGAGGTCAGTATTATGTAGAGGTCAGTATTATGTATAGAGGTCAGTATTATGAATAGAGGTCAGTATTATGTAGAGGTCAGTATTGTGTATAGAGGTCAGTATTGTGTATAGAGGTCAGTATTATGTAGAAGTCAGTATTATGTAGAAGTCAATATAATGTAGAAGTCAGTATTATGAAGAGGTCAGTATTATGTAGAAGTCAGTATTATGTAGAAGTCAGTATTGTGTAGAGGTCAGTATTGTGTATAGAAGTTCAGTACAGTATTGTGTAGAGGTCAGTATTGTGTATAGAGGTCAGTATTGTGTAGGGTCAGTATTGTGTATAGAGGTCAGTATTGTGTATAGAGGTCAGTATTGTGTAGAGGTCAGTATTGTGTATAGAGGTTCAGTACAGTATTGTGTAGAGGTCAGTATTGTGTATAGAGGTCAGTATTGTGTAGAGGTCAGTATTGTGTATAGAGGTCAGTATTGTGTATAGAGGTCAGTATTGTGTAGAGGTCAGTATTGTGTATAGAGGTTCAGTACAGTATTGTGTAGAGGTCAGTATTGTGTATAGAGGTCAGTGTGTGTATAGAGGTTCAGTACAGTATTGTGTAGAGGTCAGTATTGTGTATAGAGGTCAGTATTGTGTATAGAGGTTCAGTACAGTATTATGTAGAGGTCAGTATTGTGTAGAGGTCAGTATTGTGTATAGAGGTTCAGTACAGTATTGTGTAGAGGTCAGTATTGTGTATAGAGGTCAGTATTGTGTATAGAGGTCAGTATTGTGTATAGAGGTCAGTATTGTGTAGAGGTCAGTATTATGTAGACATTAGTATTGTGTCTACTACTACTACTGTATTATTTATTATTATTATTATTATTATTATTATTATTATTATTATCATCATCTCACCCCCCCAGGCCCAACAACCCCCCACAAGGCGGCTACTCTGGCGGGTAAGTAAATTTTCCTGTTATTTTGAGGTTTAATGAGTTTGTATGAGGGGAGAAGAGGGATGAAGGGGAGAAGAGGAGTGAGAGAGAGAGAAAGGGGGGGGGGGGCGATGACAACCTCCTTACCCCATGTAGCAGAAGATGGTGGCCCCAGGGTGCGCCCTCTGACAGACAAGACATTATTCAATAGACCGATGCCAAAATGTCCGCCCACAGCGTACAGTATTTAGTCTTGGTGTCGCACCTGGTTAATGAAATCTTATTCCATTTAGGGGTCAAGATCCACAGCAGTATGGAGGAGGTCAGAACCAGTATGGAGGAGGTCACCAGCCATACGGAGGTCAACAGTCATACGGAGGTCAACAGCCATACGGAGGTCAACAGCCATACGGAGGTCAACAGCCATACGGAGGTCAACAGCCCTACAGTGGTCAGCAAGGAGGAGGTGGAGGTGGTGACATGATTTCAGGCCTTATCGGTGGATTTCTTGGAGGGTAAGTTTAATCTTGTCTTGTATTACAGTTTATTATTTTTTGGGTCTGTGATATATGTTTTAAGTAAGGTATATGGAGGGATGTGGCACCCAAGTGGATACAGCACTAGTCTGCTCTCCTTCGGGCCACAGGTTCAAATCCTAAGCACTTTTATTTCTACCAACTGTAATTATGACTAATTTTGGGGTTAGGGAAGTCGCCAACCCTCAGACTTTGAGGATGACACCATGACTGTTTGACTGCCATCATTCCTGGAGAAGAATTTATCAGTCATCAGATGTCCTGTTTCATCCACACTGACATTGTTTTCTAATGGAAATATAATAACCATTGCAATACTGTACTTCATTGTTTATAATGTAGTAAATGCTTAGGTTATAATAACAGTACTTTATATTAATGTACTGTACAGATAAATTCCATTATATCAGACAATCAATAACTTTCAAGAAACTCAAACAAGCTGCACATTTTTCTTGTTTCATCATCTTTGACCTTTTTAGCAACAAATTTAATAATAAAAACAAGTTTGATAAACTTTGGGTACAAGAAATTAAACTGTTTCTCTGTATTTTATGCTGAATATTGGTTGATGTAATTCTTTTTGGCATCCAGTGGTGACAATAACCAGCCACAGGGAGGTGGTCAGTATGGCCCTGGTCCATATGGCCCTCCTCCAGGTCAATATGGAGGGGGTTATGGCCCTGGTCCTTATGGCCCTCCTCCTAGTCAGTATGGAGGGGGTTATGGCCCCCCACAGGGGCAGTATGGCCCAGGAGGACAGGGAGGGTATGGGCCACCACCGGGCCAGCAGCAGGGGGGCGGTGCAGACATGGCTGGCAAGGCTGCCAACTTCATCGGTGGGATGATGGGGTGAGCACAGCCACCACCACACTGCTACTGTCTTACTAACATTGTCATGCAAGGAATGTTCTATTAACGGCATTATGCAACAACTATTTTACTAACATCACATGAGGACGTCTTTCTCCCTTAAACAAAGAACACACCTTTAGGGACCCTCCATTGAAGACTATTTCCCTTGGCCACATTTTACACTGCATCACCTCTTTGTCATCGTCTATACTTCCTTGGCTTCTCCAGGACCTTTTCACCATTACTGTTCCCCCAGAAATATACTGTATTCCCCTTTACCCCCAACCATTCATAAACACAGAGCGGCAAAAAATGTTGCCATATCTGTGCGTCTATCTATGTTCATCTCTCCTCGTGGTTTCCAATTAGGGATTACCTGAAGATTACACACCCCAGCTTACAGAACAGGATATCAACCGAAGATTACACACCCCAGTTTATATCACGTGAAGATTAATCATCCTAACGCTACCTGGAAGATTACATCAGGGGAATTAATTTTTTGATGAAATAAGCTGGAGTGTCTAATCTTCAGTTGATCCCCGAAGTGAAGAATCTAATGGAAGGTAATTCGTTAACCGAAATTTCGTTAACCGTGGCACTCGTTAACAGAGGGATCACTGTATATTGTAGTGTATAATTTAATGGGTGTCTGCATATGAATGAGTGATTATTAAGTCAGTTCATGTCAGTTAAAGGTGAGGATGTCAGTGAGTCAGTCAGTAGAAAAGATCACGAATGAATGAATGAATGACTGATCTGGTCCATATCCTATCAGGGGATGAGTGAGTGAGTCAGGTCATGCAAGTCAGAAAATGGGTACAGGATTTTGTGAATGATTGAGTGAATCAGTTCATATCCTGTAGGGGGGTAAGTGAGTGAGTTGCCACGAGTAACTCAGCCAGGGGTACAGATTGGCACTGTGTCAATACTCCTGTTTATTGTTAGAAACCAATTTTAACTTGTGCTTCCCAAACACATCTTTGCTATTCCTGGCAGAGGATACTTGAGTGATCTTTCTTATTACCAGTTACACACATATCTTCTCAATGTCTTGGTACTTAATTAAAACACTTACCATCACTCACTAAAGTCCCAAATTAAACTTAAATTTCAAAGTAACAGGAGTAATAGTTGCTTCTGTGTCGAAAAAAACTGATGTGGAAAACTTGATAGAAAGGTGAATGACTGAAAACACGGAGGAAAGGAGAGAGAGAAGGAGAGAGAGAGAGGAAAAATATGATAAAATATTGGCATAAGAAGAATGATGAAGATGTGGAAAGAAAATAATCAATAGGGTTAAGATGAATGGATGTTGTTTTAGGAGATCAAAGATATAATGAATTACCTGAAGATTAGTTACCCTAGATTATTTCACCTGATGATTAAGCACCTAACACTACCCAGGCAGGTTAGGTTAGGTTAACAATAGGGTGGTTATAATCTTAAAGTGAAATAAGAGAGGGTACTAATCTTCAGGTGATCCAATTAAATTCTTTCCCTTTTTAAAATCTCTTACTAGGGCTTTTCCCAAGATATGCTAATCTGAGAGTATCACACACCAATCAACCTCAACTAACACACCTAGATACAATAGTGTGGGGGTTTATGAGACACTTAGTTCAGAGATACACTGTTGTCTGGCATAAAACAACACACACACACACACACACACACACACACACACACACACACACACACACACACACACACACACACACACACACACACACACACACACACACACACACACACACACACACACACACACACACACACACACACACACACACACACACACACACACACACACACACACACACACACACACACACACACACACACACACACACACACACACACACACACACACACACACACACACACACACACACACACACACACCACACACACACACACACACACACACACACACACACACACACACACACACACACACACACACACACACACACACACACACACACACACACACACACACACACACACACACACACACACACACACACACACACACACACACACACTGAACTTGGAAAATAGTTTGCTAAATATTGTGTTCTTTTGTGTGTTTTTGAGCTATTTGTCATAAGTTTCCTTAATTCACACAAACTTTCTGTACATTAATGCTTGAATATGTTATCCTAGAGAAATAGGTTTGATTTTAGCATGTTATAAGCGCTGTATTGTACGTCTTAATCAAAGATGGAGCCGAGACTAATAGATCGAGACCATTTGTAATTTTAGCCTCAATGGATTACTTGAAGGTTGTCCCCCCTTCCTCCTAGACAGTTTTGGGGTGATTAAACTTACGACTGGTTAAGCTGGGGGGGGGGGGTAATTATCAGGTGACCCATAAAAGCTAAAATCACAAAAGGTCTCATTCAAGATCTCGGCTTCATCACTTAATCTTGGAGAGCTTCAACTTCTGAGACATTGGTATAAAGCTCCCAGCTCTGTGATAAACTTGCATCATCTATAAACCAGGAAACTTGGCCTTCATAGCACAGGTACACAGTACTATATATACAAAATTAACTTGAGTGACCTACTGAGGCATGTATCTTGATCTGTCCATCCACTAACACGATCTGGGACTATTAAAAGGATACACTAATGTGATTGATGATAATTTTCCACGACGTACTAACTCCTTCACTACGGGGACGCCACTTTTAATATTTTATTTGGCTGACGAGACGATGTTATTCAGCTAAGAGGCGACCCTGTACACAAGGGGTTAATAATATGCTGTAATGTCTTTCATTGCACCAATTTGCCTTACCATATTAGTCTTCTTGTAATTGGCATCTGTCGTGTGTCAGTTTAGAATGACAGCTCTTCAGTGCATTGCTCCTGTGTTTATGGTATAGTGTTACTTTGAAAATTAATTAAACATTACTGTAATTTACTAATCTGTAGTTTTTTTTCTTCCTCAAAATGTCTAATACAGTATAGATGTTTCTCTACTTACGAACAAATTACGTTCCACAGGGCTGTTCGTAAATCCAACTTTACTCATGTAGATGCGAACATATTGTAAGAAAACGAAAATTATAGGATGTACAATAGAGCTATACCCTACAACACAGCCTTAAAACCTGGCATACTCTTCTCTTTGACAATACGGTATATGTTCTACCAGGCATTTTCTACCAATATAATCCACAGTCTTGTATCTGAAAGTTTGTGAGTCAAATTTTCATGAGTAGAGCAACACCTATACGTACTGTATATTACTTTATTGTATTAATTATACTATTTTGACTATATATAAATAATCCATTTTCAGTATTTTTGTTGTAGGAATTTCACACATAAGTATTACCGATATATTTATTTTTTATTTTTGGATGTAAATTTTTGCCCTTATTTCAGATGTACAATTATAAGACAATACAACCATCAGATTACATGTCAATATTCTCCGTCATTTGATTCATTAGAGTGGCTGGTCATGGTCATGTGTTTGTGCAGTAATGAGGGGAGAAATGATACTGTACAGGGTGATTCAAAAGTCACTGTACACCTGTAATACTTCAACAATATACTACTAGTACTTGTTATAACCTATATTGCTATTTACCCTGTTCTACCGAGAGTAAATACTAGTAATAGTTACGAGAAATAATGGAAGTGAATACCATTAACAATATTACCCCAGTAACCCCGGTAGAGTCTACAATAATGTTTCTTTCCTATCTTGACTACAGTGGCGGTCTATGCTGGTGTGTCAAGTAGTCTCAAGTTCCTATTATTCCTAGATTCTTATTCTCTATTATTTATAAAAGCAGCAAGAATTCTTATACATCAGTGATAGAATAAATGGGGGAGTGTGTCAGGGTTTAAGACAGCATGGTAGCACAACATTATAAAGTTGTCGCTGTCTGTGTGTGTGATGGTGTTAGGTTAGCTGACAGAAAGTGAATTGGGACAGTTTAGGTTAGCTTAGGATAGGTTAATTTAGAGTAGAGTAAGGTAGGTTAGATTAGGCAGGCTGATAAAACATTGTGGTTAAACATGGAAGGGAAGAACATTAATGTGAATATAAGAGTGTTTACAAGTAATGTTTAAAGAAAAGGCAGAAAAGAAACAAAGGACAATAAAGATCATAACAAAATAGCAAAGACTCGACGTATAAGGAGGGAGGAAATCATAATAGAATCTAGATTATGTATCGAGATGAATTAAATATATTAGGTGGGTGTTGAATGCTAAAACACAGGTGAGAGTAAAAGTCGTTGAGGTTAATGGTTAGGTTAATCCGCCAGGTGTTCTCTTAAGCACACTTTGAAGTCGACTGCAGTGTAGACGTCTTGTTAGGAATACAAAGTGAGAAGCAACGCATAACTGAGGAATGTATTTAGTATGCAAAGTGAGTAGATGTCAAGCCTTTAAGCTAATTGAGATGACTATTTTCATTTGTTTAATCTAAAGTTGAACTGAATGGGATCTTTCTTCATTTGTTTTTCTTATTCTGCATGGGAATGAAGCAAAAGTTAAGAGAGAGAGAATCTTACCCCATACCTTGTGTTTTTGTAATCATATCAATTTTCTCTGGGTACTGTACTGTATCTCCTTACCAACTGTCCATCTACAAGGTGATTCTTTTTTTTTTTTGAGAACTCTATATAATTCCCATACACAAAAAACTATATCAGTTAGGAACCTAATGTTTTGTGTAAATGTAGCCTCATGTTACAGAAAGGCAGTTATGATCCTGGCAGTTATCATGCATCACATGATTTGTCATGTCTCCCATCAGTGGTGTTTAATGGTTTTCACTCAATCATGCCATGGTGTTCACTGTGGAAGGACACGTGTTTTTCATCAAACATTGCATCAAGAATGAAGCCTTCAGGGAATGTCTAATTGCATTTAAAAGTCACTTTGGTGGTCGTACTAAATCTTCAAAATCAGTGATATGGAAACTGTTAAAACAGTTCAGAGTAACAAGCTGCATGAGTTAAAAAACAAAACAAAAAACACATGTACCAGCCAAGTGTTGTTACAGCGGAGAAAATGGATAAAGTGCGGGAAAAAACACAAGCAAAGTAAAAAACAACTAAAACTGTGAGACGTTTAGTGCAACAAGCTCACTGTTCATATTCCAGTGCAAGGAAGGCGGTCAAGACAATTAAACTTTATTCCTACAAAACTCGTGCCGTGCATCAGTTACTGGACCCAGATGAAGACAAACATGTAGCCTACTATGAGTGTCGGAGAGTATGCTGCGAAGAATAAATTTGTGCCTGCAACATGGTGGTGGACACTTTCAGGGGGTCACAGCTTAAGGTTGAAGAAGCCACAAGTCCAGAAAACTGTGAGGGCAAACTTTCCTGGAGTGAGAGTTGTGAACTCTTGGAACAATCTGCCAGAGAGAGTTGTGACGGAACCGAGTGTGAATTCATTCAGACAAGACTTGACTAACACTGGAACAGGTTCCAATACATTCAGGAGCCAGTTCATGCCCAGTATCGTCCAACAGTGCGTATCAGAGACGAAACCAAGCTCCCAAGCGGCCAATGAGCCGATCAGTGGCAAAGAGGATAAAGTAAAAGTAAAAAAAGATTATGTTACATCTTTCTGTAACATTAGGCTACATATACAGTACTGTACACACAATACTTGGTTCCTAACTGACACTAATTATAGTTTATAAAATATGGGAATTATTTAAGGTTTCCGAATAAAAATATTTACATTGTATGAGCTTACACACCCAGCCCTTTGATGTCTGTCTATGAATCCCCAAAGGTATCAGGTAAATTTTGACAGAATAGTCCTGTTATACAGTATTTTGTCCAACTAAATCCAACAAACATAACAGGTAAATTTGGACAAGACATTCCAGCTATCCATTGACCATTACCGTGAATCGTCAGACATAACATTAATATTAACAGTTCCTCGTTAACACAAGTCTTAACCCTCAGTGGTGGTGGAGGAGGCAACCAGGGTCATGGTCAGGGTCAGGGTCAGCAGAGAGGTGATGGAATGAACGAACTTATCTCTGGAATGGCTGCCAACTACATCGGTGGGATGGTTAGGTGAGTTAACACCTTCCTGTGTTTTTTAATACAACCAGTGATTATGTTTGGTATTAAGATGAGGAAAGGGATTTAATTGATTTGCTATTAAGGTTCAGTGTTTCCTATAGTTACTGAGTCCTAGCACCAGTAGGTAGAATATATAGTCTATAAGTTCTCTTTTCTTTTAATATAAGTGGTAAGCTAGTTTTTCATTAATTAATATATATGTGCAGTGAAACCTCCATCTAACAGACTATATGAGAGAGGGAAGTCCTTTAGATCAAGGTCTGTTAGATGTGAAACCTCCATCTAACAGACTATATGAGAGAGGGAAGTCCTTTAGATCAAGGTCTGTTAGATGTGAAACCTCCTTCTTACAGACTACCATATATCCATTAGATCAAGGTCCATTACATAAAGGTTTCACTGTGTCTAATAATAACTCTGTATCCACACTAACAGATCACCAGCACCACAGTCCATAATGTCTTCAAGGAACTCCTGCAGGAAGACTCAACATTCACATGTACCAACCTAAGTTTAATATATGAACTTCTTATACAATTTACAGTACAAATATAGAACTCTGTCTTGTATCTTACTGAAATATGCTAACACTTATAAACGTTTCTTGTATTTCAGGTTTTCTAGATGATCCTCAAATGTATATTATTAATTATTATACCCCGTATACAGTATTTTCTTATAGGAATTTGTACGACAAACTTTGAAGCAAAGGTTTATAAATATTGAGACAAGTTTCATTCTTCTCAACTTTTACAACTGTTTACTGTACTGTTCTGGATACTGTACAGAGGCAGCCTTAGTGATTTGTGGGCCTCCACAGAATGCTATATGGGACCCCTACACTGCCTCTAGTTCGTTAAAAGAAAAAAAAGTATATTTTCCACATCTCCGCAGTTAGAAAAACAACAATTATTTCCTGTCAATATTTATACTATCATAAACTCGTATATGCAAAGTAAGGTTAATTGTTACAGACATTATCGTATTCTCCATCTTCTAAGAATTTATTTTGGTTGCAATGTGAATCAACGAGACTGTGGCAAGATTACTTTAGATGTCACTCTGGTGTCTTTGGAGTCATGTCAGTATGTTTGTTTGGTTGGTTGTAGGTGAGAATGCATCAGATGTCATCCACATGTCTAAGAGGTCATGTCTGTGTCTGTCTTTCTGGTTGTAGGTGACAATGCATCAGACGTCATCCATATGTATAATACGTTGTGTCCGTTTCTGTCCGGTCGTAAACATTAATCTTGTAAGCGCTCGGTCATATGTTTTTAACCTTTTAACTCGAAGGAACATTTCACCTCCCCTTGACATACAGCCATAAGATGTATCAATTAAGGTACAGGTAAAATGGAGTACAGAGGTTGAGTGGATATGGCACTTGCCTCCTATCCTAAAGGTCACCTTACTATACACCTGAGGAAGTAAAGGCAATAGAGTGCAGTGCTTGGCTACATGAAGTGAAAAAGGACTTAGTACTCAGTGTGCTGTACAGGTATTCATACTGCCCCTAATGGGTCACCAAGCCTAAGGGATTCACTTTCATAGCTAAAAAACATCAGGGTGTCTGTTAGTCATCACATTGTCCAATCCATCCTGTTTTCACTCCACATTTACATCCAACTGCCACAGTACCTCATGAAAAGTATAGTAAGACTTACTATATTATTACTTATGGGTCAGAACCCCTGGGAGGTAAATAAGCTTACTGCAGTATCTTTTGAAGGATTGAGCAAGGTTTACCAATTAAATACCCGAATTTTGTCATGGGTCGGTAACTTGTTGGAGGTGAGCGACATAGGTATACATATCCAAGGTCATATATACACCAAGCATATCACATCATTATCAATCAAAAGCCAACTGGTGATAAGTCATCCTGACCCATTTTTTTAGATTCCAGTACTACACCATGTCAATTGGTTCCTACAGGTGCAGTCCACACTACCACATGATGAAGGATTACAGCAACACTTGTCCACACTAGCTATATACTCTTGTCTTTCTTGCCATTACAAGTTCTTACTTTACCCGTGTCAAGTATTTTATTGTTTTATTATTACTGAAATGTTAACTTTATTACATTAATAACTCAAGTGGCAGACAGAACCAGGACAGGTCAGCGAACACCAGGCCCGTTAACACAGATAATGATATGATGTCCAGCATCACATCTGGCCTTGTTCAGGGACTGTTCAGGTAACACTCAATATACAGTAGTATATGTTGTTGAATATTCATGTCTGAATATTGCAATGCTCAGTTATAATTTGAGTTGTATTGACACTTTCCTAAGCTGTTTATACTGTACTGCATTAGAAAGATACAATAACCTTTCGAAAGAAATGCTTCTTCACCTATAAATATTGTTGTGATTTGAACATACAGTAATTGTAAGTTATTTGTAAATAAATACTAATTATTATGTCCGTGTAACCTTAAATGTTTTCATCTGACGAAGTGGTGGGCGGGGAGGTGGACAGGGAGGGGGTCAGGGAGGTGCCCCTGGCCAGAACCAGATGATTTCCAATATTGCCTCAACTGTCATCAAAGGTTTATTCAGGTAGATAAGTGTGGCATTTGGATTTAAAGAATAAATTCTGTTTGTGGCATATAGAAATACAGTTTTGATACTATAACAATGAAAGTTTCAACTAAGATTTCATAATGGCCTTCATGAAAGATAATTCTCAGTAAATCTTTTTCAGAAAGTTTAAATCTTAAATTTGGACAAATTTGTTTGATAATTAGTATAAAAAACATAATAAGAAACATGGATTATCAAGAGGGACTAATACAGAGTCTTTCAAGTTATTGCATTTATATATATCCCTGAACATTTTATAGCAGTCAAGGTGGAGAGGGCGGAGGCTTAACTGCAACCATGCAAAAGTCTGGAATGAATCAAGGACTACTGGCTGGTATTGCTGCCAGTATCTTTTCAGCATTCATGAGGTATCAATCAAAGTGCTGTCCTCGTGTATGAGGGACAGTGACCACGGGTCTCCACTTAAACATGTTCACGCTGTCTTTATCAATCCACCCACATTTTGCATCTCTGTGGACAACAACATTCAAATTTCATTCATTCATATCAGTTTCTGCCTTTCCCAAATCCCCTAACTCTCAGTTTTACTCAATAATTTATTAATTATCATTATCACTCATCCCAAAGTAACTCATTTTCCTTATTCTATAAATTTCAAGTATTTCTCTTGAAGTTTTTGCCAACCTTAGTACTTCTTCATTTGTTTTCCTATCAGTGTAATTTATCTTAAACATTCACCTATAACACCACATTTCAAAGGCCTCCAACCTCTTCCTGGTGTCTGCTGAAAGTGTCTACACTTCTGACCAATACAACCTTTTTTGTTGTGATATCATTTGCACATCTACCATCATAACAGTATACACATCATTCCATTTGAGTATGTTTTCTGTTACAACATTAACTCACAGCCCAAACTCTTCACCTTATTCCAATAATCTGTTAACACCTCTTCATTATCTATAATAACAGCAATATCATCTACACACCATATATTTCACAATAATTTACCATTAACTTTTATTCCATCATTGTTACTTCTCATTAAAAAATCTGAATATATACCTGTATATATGTAGTTCAGTAAGGTACAGTATATTTATACAGTGTTGCAGGTAGATTGCACAATTCAGAATTAAAGTACTGTACTGTATACAACATAAAGAAACAGCAGTTCAGTAAGATCAAATGTTAAATATAACTAAAGCTGCCTTTACAATATTTAAGTTCCTTTACATCTTGGTGATTGAAAAATGCAAATACAGTAGACTTCAATCTTAAGAAAAATATTAAAAGATGTTTCTCTCTGACTTACAATAAACAGCCACAACCAGACACAGCAGAATGTGTCAGGTGCCCCGCCACCAGCCAACGATTCTATCATTGGAAATGTTACTACAAATGTTATCAAAGGGTTGATCAGGTACTTGGCCCTACAGTACTGTATACAACTACATTTTATTGGTGTTATTTAATACTGTACCAAAGTTTATATTCCTCATATTTCAAGTAAACTACAGGATATTTCCAAATATGAAATAAAAAATAGATTAGGTAACATTGTTACTAAACTTTAATGAATGATAATATACCAATAATATAATTTTAGAACGTTCATTATTTTCGTAACCAAAAATTCTGTTTTACTTCTAAGCGACAACCGGGGTAACGTAAATCAGTTACAGACAACTGGAGTGACTCCAGACATGGCTGGATCCATAGCTTCCAATGTTGCCAAGGGTCTCTTCAGGTAGCTACTTCTTTATAATTCTGATGATAAATATTTCACCAAGGATAATATTATTTTTATCAAGAACAATAATCATCAGTCATTTACATATAAACTTGGAGTGTTGTTCCTGTGATATAAAACAATGAATCTTTACTAATTATTATTTTAAAAGGTTCAAGTTTTATGTCCAATGTTTCCTTGGTAGTGGGAATGAAAATGATGCAGCATACAGGAATGCATCTCCAACAGCCAATGAGGCGCTCGTACGCTGTATAACAAGCAGTGTTGTGAAGGGTCTGGCAAGGTACTCGCAGCACGATATATTTACTCACTTAGGAGAACAGGAATCACCACAAGCAGTTTAAGTGTCTTCTTACCACACTTCACATTTAAACTCCACTAAATTAGTGAAATTTTGTATCTATTGCTTTATCTTGATTTATTTTGGTGAATTTCATGTTATTTTACCAACATTTATGAGTTATCTGGTAATACAGTAAATGAGTGATGTTGTGTAGTACTGTACAGTTAATACCTGCTGTACACCTCACTAGATCCTGCCATCTTTACATTATTATTTGTGGTGATTCCTGAAGCAGTAAATAATTTTAACACAGTACTCTACTATAATAATAATAATGAAATGAGAACTTTCTACCGTATTCTAGTCAGAATAAAATAAACAATATTATCATCTTTAAAAGCTTTGTTATATATATGAAAATATTAGTACTGTACAAGTTAGTCATGTTATTTTAATATATTTCTGAGTCATAAGTTGAACAAAATAACTTCAGTGGTTTAGCTGACTGTATCATTATACTGAATCACAAATGTTTTTCCTATACTAGCAACACTCAGGATACTGCTGGTGAAGGCAGGCCACAAGTCAGTGAGAGTGTAATCTCACAGATGGCAACTAATGCTGTCAGTCAGTACATGAGGTATTATCCATAGTCATACAGTGGAGTTGCTCTCAGCATGGATGAAAGGGGTAGTCAGACTTAGGCAGTCAAGTACACTTTATCTATTCCAATCACTTATACAAAACACAATATTAATTTAAAAATAAGATTTTGTTTGTTTTCAGTACAGGTAATATAATTTTTAGTCATCTTTAATTGGATTATTGGTTTCAAAATTATTTTCCCATTTTATACTTAAAGTACAGTAGACTGTACTGTATACAAAGTAGATACAGTAATAATGATCTAAGTGGCTGCCCCTATTACAAGTTATTTCTCTAGTACAGTATTTATGTCAGCTTCTCTGCTTGCTCTTCATAAACCTCAGCTATGGACCTGAAACAGTGCAGCTGTATTGTCTTTGATTGTGATTAATTGGCAACACCTTCATTAGGTTCAGCTGCACACTCGATTTTTGCATCAGAGATTCTGTTTAGGTAAATTAACAAACTCCAGAAGAAATAAAGTCAGTTGAAGTTCCTGATATATATAAATACAGTACTGTACTAACAAGAAGAATGAAGATGGTTCATAGACAAGATATATATCCTGTTTGTTAAGGGATGTGCTTTGTGGTAAAGTCAGAAAATAGCCAATGTTTAAAAAAATGCCACAAACATGACTGTTAAAACATTTACTTTATTTTCCATGACAAAAATCATCAAATCTAACAAATCTACCCAAGTGTCATTAACCCTTAAACAGCAGCCATCATCAGTGGAAGTCAGCTGTAGGGACGGTGGTCATCATGAGTGGAAATATCATGTTCCTTGCCTTCCCTTTTTGCACATATGGGAGTGAAGCAGGAAATCCTTAGCTGCTGGTTATGGGTTAAGTTAGATTAGATAATATTTTGGTGACTTCTAAAAAAAGGAAATGGTTTGACAGTCATGTTTGTATTAATTTTCCAGAATCAAGCGTTTTGTTGCTTTAAGTATTATTTAGCTATGATCCTGCATGGGTTTTTTTTTTTTTAATATTTACTGTTTGCTTAATCAACTTTGTGATAAAACAGACATTAATGATTTTGGAATACAGGTATAGTCACTTGTAAAGAGACACAATATAAAGTTGTTTTTTTTCTTTAAAGATCTGCATGTTTATATATGGCATTGATATACAATTAAATTATCAGACTTTGTGAAAACTATGGATTCTCAGTTGCCCTCAGAGGTTTGGGACGCACCTGTGGATAATCAGTTTAACAGATAATTGACCTTAGCCTTAACACAACTCATGAAGTACCTTAAGATTTTTTTTTTTCATCATTACAAGTTATTATGAAAAATCTCCTGTAAAATTTCTTGAGTTACCCAGTCCATAGTACTGTATGAGCTTTATAATGCATGAGGTGTGGCAGCTCGGCCAACAATGATAAGGTGAAGATGGCACGTCCCCATAGCCTTAACACATACATGGGGTGCCCAGTTATTGTCTTATATGCATCCTTGGAAATGCTACTTTAAATAAAACAATAAGTGGGTTAATTTTTTCTATAATATATGATGTAAAGAGTGAAGGTTGTGGTACATTTGGGGGAATATAATTCACCAGTGTTAAACGTCTGCATATTTAAGGTTATGTAACCCAACTAATTGTTTTTCCTGTCCTCCCGGTGCTTGGCATTATAGGGACATTTGCTGCACATTTTGGAGCATGATGTTGGGGTAGATAATCTTATACAGTATATGAACATAAAAGCAACAAATCTTGTGTTTTTCCCTCAAGCACAAACTGAAACATTGACGCTTATTATGCTGACTGAGGCGGAACACCATTTGGTTCCTACACAGTCCCACACTTTGCAACACAAATAGTGGAGTGCTAACAGATGACAGCCAACAAAGTTATAACAAACATAATGGTGTTCACACACTGTCCCTAATTCACCATCAAGAAAAAAAACCCGAAATGGTATCAAACAGGACAGTTCTAGGGAGGGATCCTCTGTACTATATTAACATGGTACAATAGTTCTGACCTTATACTATACTGTTTAAATTCCAAAGTTAAAGTTTCCTCACCAACAGCTAGTATCCATGCACCCTACAACAACATACATACATACATAAATTTATAAGGTCACAATTCTGGAAGTGAGGAAACATGAGGAAGCACAGATCATGATAAGAGAGTGACATGAAAATAGGTATGGAGTGATGTATCATAGCTAGGTGTATCCCTTATGACCAGTACTCTCTATTACAGATAGTAGGTCTAATTTATATGTAGAGTGGCCAAAAAAAAGTAATGGTTTCTTTATAAGTGCAGTTTTGTCTTTCTCTATGTGAAGAATTACATATCTTTTACCAATTATACTGTTCAGTCCGGTACATTCTGTAGCCCCAGTGAGGTGGGTGTTCCAGCAACAATTATCACACACTATCCCGACACTGTTAGGTGTTATATGACTGGAAGATGAAAATGGAATAAAATCAAAACAAATAGCTTGGTTCTGTTGTTATCAAAGCAGGATAAGCCATTTTTTTTCTTTCTAAGTTTAGATGTTTCCCCCATGACATCTAACCATTTACAATACTACAGTAGTACTTGGCCTCATTATAATCATGTTTTTAGAGCCATACCTGTATTCTCCTTTCACACATTAATGACCTAACAAATCATAGTACATGTTTATTATTTTTTCTCTATAGACAAAATATTTTATAAGACCAGAGATTTTGGTCTTCTATTGTGGCTGTTAAGTACTGAAGCTGTCTGGTAATGCCGCCAACTCTTGTATGCGACTTACGTGTGTGTTTTTTCCTATCTATAATGGATCACTCTTCTGGGGAGCTTCCCTCTGAGGTCTAACCATGACACAGGGATCTTTATGTCACTCTGGATATTATAGTTGATCTACTTCCCATAATTTCTCCCCAGGTTTCTTGATAATGCATTCCTCCATCTAGACTGTCCATAATTTTGTCTCTTATTTGTCTGTCTGTCTCTCAATACACCAACATATCTTTTTCGGTCTGTCTCTGTCTCTCAACATACCTACAACATGTCTGTCTGTCTCTCAATACACCTACATGTCTTTCACTGTCTGTCTGTCCATCTCTCCATACACCTACAACATGTCTTTCTGTCTTGTCTCTCTCAACACACTTACTTCATGTCTGTCTGTCCATCTCTCAACACACCTACAACATAAACTTTCTGTCCGTCTGTCTGTCTCTCAACATACCTACAACACTATCACTTACATACACTGTCTGTACAAATGCTAATCAGGTGTGTACTGTACTTAATATTTCATTCAGTTTCCTTTACTTTCCACATGAATAATAATACTGTATTGGCTGTAACAACTTACACATTTCAGGATGACTGTAGTGTAATTCTAATGTAACATCTCGGTATTTCAGATTTCAAAAACATTACAGTACGTACATCTGCTGCTCAATATTCGTAGATGTATAATGTATGACTGACGTATAATGTATAATGTCTTGTTATTGTCATAGGCTGTGATAGGAAAATTTGTAATTGTTTATGTTCGAGCTGTGTGCCAATGAATCCTTGCCTTATTAATTTTACACCGTACAGTATATGTGGATCATAACATGTCAACACACAGAAGGTGAAAGGTGAGCCATCTTGTCATAATGCAACATTTATTCTATATTTTAACTTCATTTTATACATATTCCCAAGGTCGATCGCGCACACACACACACACACACACACCAGACAAACATTACACTGTACCTCATTAATTTGGATTGTTATAATTCCGATTTTTCGGTAATTCGGATGACCTAGAACTCCTTTGTTATCAAATTAACGAGGCTATAGTGTACCTTCTCTCATAGACCAATTTAAGCCCATGATATCTCTACTGGTCTACTGACAGCTAAGTTTTATTCTGCTTGGAGATACTGTGTAGGTATTTACGGAACTTTTATAAATTCCTTTACATTCACAAACACATGTTATATACTCCAGTGCTGTATTATCTTTGCTATCTTGATACATTACTTTTAATAGTTTCCACAATACACAAGTTACGGGGAATCTATGGTAATTACAGTACTTTTCACCCATGCTGTCTTGTAACCAGCAAAATACATCAACAATTGGTCATATATACTAAGTAAAACTCATCTCATTGGTGTGACTTTTAAAAAAATTCCAAAATATTGATATGTGTAAAGGATTTGTGTTTTAATCAGCGCCATCTTGATTTTCTCATGTTCTGTTAGTTTTTCTCTTGTCTCTTACTTCCTCATTCCCTTTACCCTATTCTTATTCTCATTCTATAATTGAACGTTTTGTATCTGACTCGGCTAGTGGGAACCGTGGTGGCCAGGGAGGCGGCAGTGGCTCTGGGGGCGGTGACTTTATGTCCAACATGGCCGCTTCTGTTATTGGTAATATGTTCAGGTAGATAAGATTCCACATACAGTATTGAACTTTATTCTTCATTTGTAAAGTTTAGTGATATATAATTAGTAATATTATGGTAAATTAGAGGCATAGACTGGAGTAATTTTTAGTAGTAAATGCCTCAGAGATATATTGACATAATTAGTATTATTAAATTTCAGGCATAGACATAAGAAATAATTAGATTTTATGCCTCACAGACAGATATATTGAGAAATATTTAGTACCATTAAATTCAAGTTACAGATTGAAATAAGAAATAGATTTTAATGCATCACACGAAGATAATGGCCAGTTTACACACATGAATTACCCTATTATAGTGGTGACAGTGGACAGGACACCACACAGAGGACGGGCCTCAACTCTGGAATGGTGTCAGGAATTGTGTCCAGTGTTGTCAGGAATGTCAGGTATATAATATAGGAATTTATATCTGATAAGAGAATGGAATATATATTACTGTATAAAAAAATTATCTTTATAGTGATGTAGATTTCTTTTAATAAATCTCATAAGGAAAGAATTACTCTGTACTGTATCAATATTAGTCACAAGGATTATCGATTTATTATTTCCTAAACTGTTTGTAATTGGGTGTGTTTAGGGGTCGGCCTCAAGCAACCAGGGGCGAGGTTGATGGTGTCAACGATGACATAGTGGCCTCTGTAACCTCTTCTGTCATCAAGGAGATCGTCAGGTAGTTGAGGCTTTGTTGATAAATCCTCACTGGTTGGCTCATGATTAAATATATCTGAATACCTTAATGACAAGGATAAAGATGAAATTAATGTTATATGAGGAAACAAGAGAGACTTAGAACTAATATGGTGTGTGTGTGTTTCCCTCTCACTGTAGTCAGGACACAGAGGGAAAGATTCTCCCGTCAAATGATGCAAATGCAAACAGCCCGATCGTCGCCAATATTGCTTCTAAAATCGTCCAGAATATTATGAGGTACAATTTGGCATGATATTATTCTATCATTTACCATGCTAATGACTTTAAATACTTATGATTGAGAAATATAAAACTTTACTACCACAAAGAACTTGCACGTCCGACTTATATAATAAACTACACTACACGATCTAACTGATATAAAAAAATCAATTACTGTTTATGCATGTGTGATAAATTTATACTAATCACGTGTTTATTCGTTTCATTGATTCTGGTTCACTAACTTCTAATCTTAGTGAAGAGACTAATGACGAGAGAGTGAAGGCAGTTCAGCGTGGAGAAGTGGACAGCAGTTTCTTGAATGGGATCATCTCAAATGTGATCGGAGGAATGATCGGGTAGCCTCATTAACTCTGCTCTTACTTTAGTGTATTATCTTCAACATGACCAAACTATATCTCACTCCTGATAAATGTGTTGCTAATTACCATGGCTATAATAATCATCTTCAGTGTGACTAAATACTAATCAAGTTTTTTTTTCTCCCTCTATTGCTTGTCACTGGAATCAACAGGTAACTGAATACAAGATGTTCAGCTTGACAACCCTGTAGAAATTTGCTGTGCTTCCTTGCATGTCATTTCTGCATGATATTCCCTCTACACTTGATTTTGTGTTGTATTACAGGTGCTGGAACGCGGCACGGAGAGACACCACAATTTTAGTACAGTAAATTACGTTTGTGTTATATAGACGACTTAAGTATTTTAGTTGCATTTGACCGATAGATATTTCCGTTGCACCTTTATTCTCCTCAGACTACACTTTATTTTTGTTACTGTATTTAAATATGCTTGCTTGATCCTTACTATCAGTGGTCGTGGCGGTGGAGGTGGAGGTGGAGGAGGAAGTGGAGGTATTGGTAATGAACTGATATCTGGCATGGCTTCCCAGTACATCAGCAATCTGATCAGGTAGGTTTAATTCTCTCTCCGCCCACCAGCAGATCCGAGCACGAACTTGACCATTCATAATTTTAGCCTTCACAGATCACCTGAAGATTAGCCCGTTCCCCCAGATAGTTTCAGGGTGGTTAAGCTTCAGGCTGGTTATGCTGGGGGTTGAAACTTGAGGTGAGCACTAGGTGGATAATCTTCTGGTGATCCATAAAGGCTTAAATAATGAATGGTCTTGTTTGTGGTCATAACTACATCACTGTTACTGTCCAGCCCACTTATTAATATTTGTTTTATATCTTCTCGTGTGTGTGTGTGTGTGTGCGTGTGTGTCAATCACTATTTTTAGGACACACACACACACACACGCACACACAGCATCATGTCAACTGTACCCTGAACTAGACCCCAACCAACATATATTCCATCCCCCTCTACTAGGCTATACACCTGAGCAGTACTGTATATTAGAAGCTAAACAGTGGGTCAAATATTAGGTATAACAGTGTGTATCTTAGAGCCTATAGCTGTAATATAACTCAAACTGTTATATATAAGATTAATTTTACTGTTGTAGGAATGATTGATATTATGGCATCACTTAAGAATATATTAAAATCTGGTAAAGAAACATGAATCAATATTTTTTTTTTACTGCAAGTCTAATATTATTGTCTTTCCAGTGGAGGAGGTGGTGGTGGTCAGAAGCCACAGAGAAACCAAGATGATGTCCTCTCTGGTATAGCTTCAAATGTTATCGGAGGACTCGTTGGGTTAGTGTCTCCCAGTTTTATTATTCGGCTTTTCCATCTTTTACACCGTGGGGTTAATGACGTACAGGCACTTGCACTTATACCTGGTTCAGTGGCCGCTGTGTTTTGTGAGATGTGGCAACTCTGCGGAATACTTCTCTAGCATCTTTAATCTGGCAGCTATTGTGATGTTCCTTAGGGCTATTCCAGGAGATTTAATACAATGTAAACAAATAAAGGTTTGCCACGTCTCACAAAATGCATCAGCCACGGTATCAGGTATAAGTGTAGGCGACTGTACCATATGTGATGTACTGTAAATATTTAATTAATTTTCACCAATAGGACATTAATCTCAACATTGATACTTATTTATTAAGAAACATTAGCTATCCTTTGTACTGTACTAAAGTCTATCTACATGTTTACACTAATGGTTGTCTTTATTACAATCAAGTATCCATTACACTGTCTAATGATGTAACTGACAGATGTTTTGCTCTATATTAAGTTTAATTTTTAAGATTCTGGTACACAAATGAAAAATTATCTAAGTGTCATGTGATGCTTTATTTATTTAATTGTGAGTGGAATTTTAGGATCATTTGAATATTCTACAGCCCAGCTTATTTCACCTAAACATTAACCACCCTAATGTTAACCTAACCTAAACCTCATACCCTAAATAGCATTACGATGGTTAATCTTTAGGGAGAAGTAAGTTGGAGTGGAGGTTCTTCAGGTTACCTAAATTTTATCTGCTGTGTCTAATGTCTTGTTTATGTTTGACCATGATAGGGGTGGTGGTAGAGGTGGTGGCCAGCCAACCCAATCAGGTGGCTCTATCGCCTCAAACATCATTGGCAAGATCGTCAGGTAAGATCATCGTCACATATACATTATTAATAATACGTTGCTTCTTGGAGAGACTTTGCTCTAGTTTATCAATATTTTAACTTGTTATTTTCAGTTCAAGGTTCATTTTTAGTGTGAAGGTGGTGGTGGTGGTGGTTGTACTTTTCAAAATGGGTGACAAATTTACTGGCAGGCATAATGTGTTTCAGAATTAATTTGTATCAAAGTAAGAGTTACACCTCACCTTCTCTTTGTTTCAGAGATGTGTAGTTTTATGTATGGACAGTCCCTTCTGTATCATCGGTCATGGGATCTGGTTATGTCTTTTGATTATTATTAAACTAATGCAATAGTTAGATTTGGTATAGGACTTAGTTATGGTGTCTAACACGTGTGGTCCTGTACTGTACCTCATCATGTTTATAATGATCCATCACCTTCCTCCTCCTATTATAACTCATGTACAGTACAGTAAACCCTCCCAATACCAGACTACTTCATGCAAGTCCTGTCCCTTATTGAGAATATTTGGTAATGAGCAGTCCATTATTGAGAGGGTTTACTATACCACTGTCAGTAACATGTGTATCATATCACGCAAACACGGAGGTGAAGTGAGATTATGATCCGTTGAGAAAGTCTACGGTCATCCAAATTAACAGAATCATCAGACACAATGCTCTTATGTGTCCCCTTACTGGATGTCACGCTGCATTTGTTATATTCTCGTACTGTTGTTACCATGAGCCTTTAACATGGTCCATAGTACATACAGTTGAAGAATTAAATGGTGGGAAAATGAGTCCAAGACCATGAATAAAACCATTTAAAATTTTAGACTTTTTGGATCACCTGCAGATTAAACCCCTCCCCCCCCCTTGATAGTTTTGGGGTGGTTAAACATCAGACTGATGAAGGGGGGGGGGGGTGACTCTTCAGATGAGTGCCTTGGGAGAAGGATAATCTCCAGGTGATTCATAAAGCCTAAAATAATCTAAGGTCTGGTAACTGTACACGTCATTACCACCAACATATGGAGCAGCATATAAAACAGCTGAAAGTTTTAGAGAGGGAAGTTTATTTTCTCTATCCTAAACCTCCTCACCCCTAATCATCAAGCTACCTCATGAATAATCTAACCCAATCTTAAACTTTCCTTCTGCTACTAAAGGGTATTTTGCATTTTCATATACTGACTGTACCATATAAATTTATATCCCACTACATACAGTATTGACTCTCGCCCAAGAATACTGTATTGGTTTAAATCTTACGTGTATGAGGACCGTGTTTAATTTTTGGTATGTATACAGTACTAGGGGGGGGGGGGTTGTGTTCCTAGATAAAGCCAGTATAAACAAAGACAGGTTCCATAGAAGTGTGGTTATAGTCCCAGCCAGAGCTAAACACCCCATGTTGGATTGATATGGAGAGAATTGCTGCATGAGTGAGTGAGTGAGTGAGTGAGTGACATGAGTAAGAATAAACATTAAATAACCAGCGTGTGTGTGTGTGTGTAAGGAAGGTAAACCAGTCTGTAAAATCATGCAGAGATTATGAAACATTGAGGTAATTATCGGGTACAGTTTGTTTGAACCATAAAAGTGGGATGCGAAACAGTACTGTGAAGTGGATACAGTTCATGGCTCACTGTATTTGACTCATGTACTGTACTTACTTTTAGAGTCCATTACTCTTGATATCTTTCTCATAAAACACAATGAACTTGATGAAACAAAAGACTGTCAACATAAACCTGCCCTTATTAACTCTCCCATTTTCTTTACACGCGAACAACAGTGGCGGCGGTGGTGGCGGTGTGTCAGACGATCTTATTAACCAGATTGATGTTCATGGGTAATGTCTGGCATGTTATCCTGCCATGCCTGGTATCTGTCTACTTTTAGTCCAGTGGTAGCAAGACACCAGCATTTTGGCATAAAACAGTTACTACATATTCTCCTTAAGTAATATCAGGTTATGAAGCTTCTTGTATTGTTTAATTATACCAATTGGAAGTAATATCTCTGAGTAAATTATTATATATTCAGCGCAAAACAATTAGCTTTATATTCAATGTTAGAAGACTTTTTGCCTTAATGAGGTACATTATAATGTAACCTGTGATAGCATATTGGAATGCACACATATAATCCTTCCAACTTAACATGATATTAAAAACAGCCTCCTGATCACATTTTAAGTTAGTAAGAATAATAGAAGAGTTAACTTGAGAGTAATAATGTACCACACTACTCCACATAAAGGCCCGGACCAGTACCAACCGGACCTTCCATGCCAGGTGGGCCCTCAGGTATCCCAGGTCTTGTTCCCACACAGCCTAGGATGCCTGGGGGGCTACCTGGACAGCCAGGGGGTAAGGTGGGGCCAGGGACGTCTAAGTACCGAGCCATTGCCGCCACTGCCGTGGAGGCTGTCTTAGGGTAAGGTTTAATGGTGGGTCACTTGTCACGGTTGACAGAGGAAGCTGTGAAGGACTCCCAGATCCTTTCACTTTTATTTTATTTATTTTTCCCAACTTTAAATTCTATTAACAGAATTTCTCACCATTCAGTACTGTAGATGTTAGCCAACAAGTGTGTGCACAATCCTGGTTCACTTCTTGCCTGCATCAGTTTCCTGGTCCCACACCACACCTCTCCTGAACCCCCTGGATTATTTTTGTTCATTTTAATTTTGTTTGTTCCTATATATTCTAGATGCTATGGATGTTATTGTTAGATTATTATGCAACAATTACCTTACATGTTAGAGTAATGTCCACCATGAAATATAAAACTCTTATGTATTGTTCAGACACATAAACAATAGATTTCACTGGGCTAAATATGGGCCAAAATAATAAAACTAAATAATATAAAACAAGTTTGCTCTTAAGCTCTCACTTGGAAACAGTATTATATCCATCAACATTAATCTTAGCAGCAATAACTAATGAAGCTTTATTATCACACACAACTATAGGCAAAAAATTTAATAATTCTAAGATTTTTGGCTCATGTATTGATAGAGTTTACTGGAATATTAAGATTGCAATTTTACTAACTTACACAAACATATATAAAGAGTCTTCTGAACCTCTCTGCTACCTGTGGGCAATGGTGTCAACAATGTCTTTATTATTATTAGTCAGTGGTGTTGTGTCAATCTACCTTTGACCGCTTTATTGACCCGGGTAAATATTATTCTCTCCCTTAACCCTTATGCCTTGGACGACGTTAGACCCACTGGACCCTAACGCGGGCATATTTACACTTTTTTTTTAATTCGATCTGAAACTAGTACTTCAGGCTTAAAATGAATGCAATCACTCCAAGCGTATTGTTATGGCTGGCAGGCACGTGGTCCCCTGCATACACGGCTACCGCGGCACCCATGACTACGGCCTTGCTGACGGGGTGGCTGGTGGGGAGGGTAGGGGGGAGTGAGTACCATTGTATCACTGTCCTCATCGCTGGCCGCCTCAACAAACTCCTCATCATCTGGGTCTCTTTCCTCCCCATCACTGTCTTTGTCATTTGATACTATATCAATGCCACTCAAACCAAGCAACTCTAGATGAGAAGCATTAATCATGAGGGCGTGGAGGAGTGAGGCTGACGGGTAACTGGACCACTAGACTTGAGATACAGATTACGTATGAGATGAGTTGCCAGGTAAATAAATATCCTCTATAAAGTACTTCATCCTGCCTGGACATTCAAACTATACCGTGAAAATTAAGGACGTAGAGGAACGTCACCCGGGCTTTTAAGGGTTAAGATGGCAGGAGAGAGAAATTAAATAAAACAGCTCACAGGAGATACACGTTTTCTCTCTTTAGCCGATAAAATCACCTTTGTGGCTATAGCTAACACCCTGAGATCAATTTTCCCCAATAGTTTGTAGTCCAATTTTTTCAATGCTGTATCAACAATGCCAATTACAAACAGCAATTTATTTTATTACAGTCTGATGGAACAATTGTTTGATGGTTTACTTGTAATAGAATGTAAAGTATTCACACATAGCTGTATGTTATAGGTAGCAGAGAGGTCTAGAGGCAACATTTGAGTAATACTTTGCCACACAGTTCAAGATTGTAACTCATGTTAATCATATATCAACACATTGCATTGTATAGTAGTAATGTAACATGCAAGGGACACTGTATGCTTGCTTACAAATAAAGTATACAATATCTTAAGGAAGTTAATAGCCAAATGAAAATCAAAACGATGAAAAATAAAAACTTCATACTTATTTCCACTCTCGTTCGGCCTTTGTTAAGGGGTCATATCATATGTTCCAAGGTTGATGCGATGTTGTTTTTGGATCTGTATGTGTTTGTATGTAAGGAAGGTATTTATTGTATGTTTTGGGGAGTAAAATTTAGTATCAAATCAACTCTGAACTTTTTAGCATACAGTAACCAATAAGCAAAAAATTCAGTATGTTACATCTGAATTTTTCTGTACTGTACAAGTATTTTAGTTCAGGGAATCAACACTGACAAGGTACAGTAATTAATTTTAGACTCCAAAACACATAGTAATATCTTTTTTACACACATATACACAGACACACAAAAGAAACAATATTGTAACATATCCTAGAACTCCTGATATGAACCCTTAAAAGAAATATGATTTACTTATACTGTACTTGAAAAATAATGTGTCACTGAGAACCACATTAAGAAAACACATTGAATATGTTTCTTTGAGATTTAACTTTTTATTAATGATGGTTTGGGGAAATTTATTCCTATCAAAATGTGGTAATTGTTCTTATTATGCCTAGGACAACACCATCAGGCAGTTTGTCATGGATACAGCTGAATATGCTTAAAAAGTACAGTGTTTTACTACCACAGACATACGGTACAGTACTGTATTGGTGGATGTTACAGTTCACACACAGTACTTGGAGCACTTTCCATTAACCACACTATCATTGTAAACTTAAAAGAGAATAAATTTGCATAAAATAAAATGAAGTCGATAACAAATCTTCATATGTTTAGCCTTTGAATATGATCAGTGACTTAGGTATCTTATTTGCTGGACATATTTGTGTTAGATTCATCAAATAATTAAAGAAATCTTGAACTGTAAGAAGGATAAAAGTCTTAAGTTGATTTACTATAACAGTGGAACCTCCTTAATGGACTTCTCTCTCCATATAATCCGCTAGACGGGGGTTTCACGTGTAATGGACCCTCGGTATAATGGACTTTCATCTCTATACGTATAGTAGTTCATTACATGGAGGTTTCCTATCTAACAGACCCTCGATATAACGGATTTTCCTCTTCATATACTGTAGTCAGTTAAACAGAGGTCTCACTGTATATAAATTCACAGACAAGAAAGTATAGGCTGGGCAGCAATGTTCCAAGAGTACAGTATAAGGGAGACTAGTGCAGCCCCATTAGGCAATTCACTATCAGGAGCAAAACTTTACCACTTATTAGTTTTGAGGTTGAATTATGAGCCAAGGTCTTATTTATCAATAGTATTAAGCTTTAGACGCACTTAAGTCAGTATGATATCATTCTAGCTTGAGTATAGTTTGACGCCAAGGTCCTACTTTAAATATTTTAGTTTTAAGGTTTATCCCGAGTATTCAAGTCAGTATAATATCAATCTAGCTTGAGTATAGTTTGAGCCAAGGTCCTACTTATAGTGTTAAGTTTTAGCCATACTCAAGTCAGTCTGATATCATTCTGGCTTCGAGCGTTGGCCGTTAACTGCCTCTTTCCCCGCCTGCACTATTGACATTCACAGCAACAAACTGGGAGAAGGTGTGATCGGTGATGTTGTCAAGGCGACCTCCACTGACGTCTTAGCTGAAGTTATGGAGGGTGCAGTGTGAGTCATGGACCCCTAAGCAGTCCATTGGTCGATGTTGTATTATACCGTAGAGTTTGTGGTTTGTAATGAATTGTAACCTGGCATTTTATATTGTTCTCCCGACGTGTTCATCCCAAAATAATAAGATTTAATTTTATTTGTAATTTGTTTGCTGTTAAGGATTGTTACCGGTGTGGAAATAAATAGGGTGGTAAGGGCAGCTGAAGGGCAGGTGGAGGCTGCCATAACTAACTTAACCAAATTTTGCTTCATTTCATTATCGCTGTAAGTTTGTTATAGAAGAAAAATAAATAACTAGATACACAGAACTATGATACAACTCATACAGAAACAGTTCACGTGTGGTTACTATGAAGCTTTGGTAGATATATAATCAGTCAACCAATTTCTTGCTCACAAAACATAAAAATAAATAAATAATTAAATAAACAAATAAATACATAAATAAATAAATAAATAAATAAATAAATAAATAAATAAAATAAACAAGTATAAATGTATAAGATAATATAATTTTAGGTTTTCAAGATCAATTTTTGTGCAAAATTTTATTTAATTAGACAAAATAACAATAAAGCATTAAGATTGGATATATTAATCCTTTTCTTTATTTCCACGCACATATGATCTACAACTAAAGAATTTTGAACATTATCAAATAGCCAGTTACAATTAGTTTTACGTGAATGAAATATTTACAGCATTCCCGTTATACAGTACAATGCCTTGAATGAAGTACTGTACAGAAATAAGACTCGTTTACTCAAAGTTAAAACACATAATGACTTCTACAACACACTCACTCCAAAAAGTATCTTTACGATTTTGTTTGAGACAATATAAAACAACAGATGAAGGATTTTGACAACCCTACCAAGACAACAGGAGTCACAGTGTTCCTTCTGATATTCGTCAATCACCCCGAGTACAGATACTTCTTGGACTGTGTGTACGTCACCTGTATCTGAGACTCACTTAGGCTAATTCTGGAATGTGGTGTTTTTTTTACGTTTGTATACAGTAATTTAAATTTTTTCTATTTTATTACACTGCGTTATAATGACGGACAGTCGGCTGTTACCCGCTAATACCTGTTACAAATCAGGAATTATATATCAAGCTTATTTTATCCTTATTACATTTTTTAATAGATTTTTGATTCGTTGGGATGTGTGTTACTCCTTATTTTATTTCCACAATTGTATTAACGTAACAATTTTGCATGTGAAGACGTAACTAATATATTTTGCCAAGATAAAGATGATTTTCACTTGTATTTGTTTACGATGCGTTGTGGTTTATGTCGTTGTGTTTGTTTTTGACTGTATTGTTGTTTATGTACAGTTAAACCTCCATATAACGGACTTCTCTCTCCATGTGGTCCGTTAAATAGAGGTTTCACTTTTATATTTTTATTTTTATTTTATGCATTCTTGTTTGCCTTGATTTAGAGAGTTAAAAGTTACTGTAGATATGAGCAAGTTTGTGTGTTGATATTTCTACTCGTTGCTCACACCTGTACTGTCACTTTCTACACTCGTGTCACTGTCAGCTATTATTTTCTCCCCTTTAAAAAAAATGGGGTGGCTAATCTTCAGGTGAAATAAACTGGACATAGAGATTATCTGCATGCATGACTATAACACATCAACAAGATATTATACATAGTAATAACCTTGTCATGTTCTCATAATTAATGGAACTTTAATAAAATGTATATTAAACTCACACCAATATATCACACTTGGCCCTGCTTTTTTTTTTTTTTCACCATATGTCCTGTTGAACTTTAGTGGACTCCTGCCGTATACTGAGGTTTAGTTTCTTTACGTCCCATGAAACAGTGACGTTTTGTACCCCATATTAATATTCACTGATGCTGCATGATCCATTGTAGTACTGTACAGTAATATTGATTAAAGAAATTACAGTAGTATGTTTTCAGAATGTATAGAAATTTTGGTGTTTTCATAATGTATTTAGCAAGTTTAATGTTACTGTATATAGAATAAATGTAAAATTTTAATAGACACTTTGTAAAAATATTTTTCATTTCTTATGATAGATTCCAGAGCTTGAAATAATATGTAGCTTACAAAAAAATTATCATCCTTCTGGAGGGGATGAGGGTGTGGGCGTCCCCGAGGTGGTGTGCGGTGCTGCTGTTGACGACTAATGTTCCTCGTGAACGAGATATTATTTCAGGAGCATTGCTTTAGATGGTAAGCAAGAGAATGGTAGTGAAATGGAAGCACTCTCATCCAAGCTTAATTACATGAAACTGGAACATTCTCAGTCAAGATTCATTCATGGCTTCATCACAAGATCCACAATGTGATAATGAGAAGAAATTGAGGAAACAACTGGAGTGTTTAAAGGATTATTTTATCATTGTTACCGACCAGTGACGTGGACACGAGACAATATCACCGACACACAACTGACTTCGTACTATTTTCATCCTGTTATTAACACACAATTTATATACGTACTGTATATATATATTTTTTGCAGCATATGTAGTAATACTGTATTGTAGTTCACAGTTTTGTAGTAATTATTATTTATAGAAGTTACCTGAAGTTGTTTTTGTAGATGTACACTCACTCCAAAAAGTATATTTGCGATTTAGTGTGAAAAAATATGACACACCGGATGAAGGATTTTGACAACCCTACCGAGACAACAGGAGTCATAATTTTCATTCTGGAATTCATTGAACCCCTTCATGGACGTACATCTCGGAGGGAGTGTACAGGGTAGAAAGTATGACGATCTCTTGTTTATATACTGTATTGTACATACTCTTGCATGCTACTGTACTTCTTCACTAAAATCCATACCTATAATCAATGTTTTTCCCGCCATTGTCAACAGAGGGGCACAGTTCTCCACGAAGGAGGATGGAGAAGTTGTCGAGAACCTGACCCAGAGTCAAGTTGACCCCTCCAAGCACCGGATCTTCCCTGATGCTGGTCAGTATAATGTCTGCTTTGTTATTACTCTACCAAGGTTAAATATTTCTCTTAGTACTGTACTCATTATCTGTTTGTACTCCGATATTAAAATCTAACTTATGTAGATACTCAGACCAGGCAGTGCGGTTGACTTTTGTCACTGTGCGAGTTTCAGTTCGGAGAAAATCTGTACCATAGTGAATGATCTTAACCTCTTCACTATGGGGACGCTGCTTTTAATATATTATTTGGCTAACAGTATATGATTTTATTCATCACAGAGAGACCCCCGTACACAAGGGGTTAATAATGAGTTAAAGATCCTGTAGCTAAAGAATAAATTAGGTCCTGGTATAACAAAATAACCCACATTTGACTCAAAGAATTCAATGTACAAATTTGAATGGATATATTTGAACTTGATATGTCTTAAAGATTAACATAATATTGTGCTGGTGAAATATGAACTGATTTGTAAGTCATGAGAACTGTTGATACCATGAGTGTTTATGTGATGATGATGGTTATGAAAGGGCAGGAAGCAGCTATAGATACCCTACTCCACCCCCAAATGTACAAAAATGAAACACAACATAATGAAATGTCCACTGATGATGGCTCTTGACCCTACAGCTAACTCCCACTGACAATGGCTGCTGTTTTAGGGTTAAGATATCATGCCCTTAGAACTCACAGGCTCCTATTTTAGAGCTTTATTACAAGATTCCAAATAATTCTTTGGGTTTGAGAACTGTAAGGCTGCCCTCAGAGGTCTATTGCACTGGACTAATTAGGTAACTAGTACAGTATTTGTACCTTTACGTTCAAGATGATCTAGAAATTTATACCCAACTTTAATACTTAATCAGAGACTAAGGAATCCCCCTCCCCATCATATGTCCAGTGATAAATAAAAACAAAATAAACTAATAACTCAAACTTCCATCGATGGATTAGCTTTCATTTAAGGTCTATGGTTCATTGACTTTCCTGACAGGACCAAGCTCATAGGGTCCTGATAACTCTCTGTGGCTCTAAGAACTTTATGGCTCCAGGAACTCTATGGTTTTAAGAACGTTATGAACTCACGGCTCTATGGCACTCTAGGACATAACTCTACGATGATGTTATGAATGATTGTTTATAGATCATTCTACCTCCTTCCACCTGTTATGAATGACTGTTAATATCATTCTACCTTCCTCCTTCTGTTATGAATGACTGTTGTAACTCATTCTACCTCCTTCAAACTGTTGTAACTCATTCAACCTCCCTCCTCCTGTTATGAGTGACTGTTGTAACTCATTCTACCTTCTTCCTTCAGGGTCAAGCTGGCCTTCGTATAGCTTACATCACGGTCAAAATTTCAATCAAAGTGCGTATTTGGTGGTTGAGTGAAGAGGCTTATTTATACCCTGATTTAATATTTAACTCCTGATGTGCTGACAACATGAATATATAACACATTAAAGCTGCCACACACACACATGATAGTTACAATACTTTACTAATGCTACAGCTGTGGGAAGGAAGCTTAAGGAATACTGTACATAATTCACTTGTAAATACGTATATACCGGAATTAATCATGAACTTGAATACGCTTTTAAACATACTTAAGACAATTGGACATGTAAATAGGAACACATATATATAGTACTCACTTGCTTACTATTTCACTCACTTATTCACTCACTCACTCACTCACTCACTCACACACCTTCTGACAGCTAACTGGAGTGTGGTGGTGTTCTTAAGCTTGGTAATAATCCTGGCTGGCGTCTCTTGTGATTCACCCACACCTACTCACCTCAAAACCTTCCCCTCCCCCTTCCCCCACCAGGCGCCTCCATCAAGTCCTTTTGGAACCGTCAACTAGAGAAACGTTTGTAACTTGTCCATCATTATAACTAACCCCCCAGTAGCCATTGCATGTTGTTGTGAGCTCCCCGCTGTTGGTCCTCACACACGGTAACTGTACTTGGATCAATGAATAATACTGTATGTGGCTGGATAATGAATAATAATGTATGTGGCTGATCAACGAATAATACTGTATGTGGCCGGATATAGATGATGCAGTACAGGATAAGTTTTGCCATTTGTCGTAAAACTTGAATTATCATCAAGAATTTCAGCGTCTGTGTTTAATTTCTTGAAGTATGGAATCAGTTTGTTCATTGTTTGCTGATGATAGATTTAACTCTGGTTGTATTGGTTTAAATATCTATAATGCAATTTTGTTAGAATATATCAATTGTAACGTTTGTATTTAGCGATTTTTATAGTTTCTTGTGAATTATGACAAATCTCAAAATTTGTGCCGTGTGGCCTTTACTGACGAGAATTTACTAATGTGAGAGACCATCGACCACAGCGCTGTGTATGTTTGTTACAGTATAATATCTGTACCTATATTAACTAACGGCCTGCAACTTTTAATATACAGTACTGTAGATACATATTGTAGTGTATTTCAACATCTTGCCATAGAGTGGAGCCCCTGAATATAGATACTGTACACTCATACAGACAATAACAGACATCTATGACAGTCTGTTACCATGATAGATTAAGTTTAACACACATATACTGAACTGCAATACCTGTACAGTATATCGATGACTGATAACATATAAGATATAAAGAACTTTAACCACAACAATATAACAAAGTATCTTTAGTTAAATATTTTACACATGTATTTTGTTTATGAAATTAGTAGGAGGAAATTTGTGTGTAAAACATAAGCATGGATTGAGACTGCGAGAAAAACTCGGTGCAAAATCATTCGTGCCTATGCAGAAATATCCGCATGAAACTAACTCACCCGAATAGACAGATCTTGAGCTATGGTGTGTTAACATTTACTGTAAGGTGTTTGTACATTACGTATTAATATTTCCATGGTCATAATACATTGAATTTTATAATCAATATCTTTTCTAGTTTGACTTCATAAAAAAATTCTTTGAGTGAATTTTCCATCATTCTCATCATAAAGAAAATTCAAGTTTGTATTTCTTGATGACTTTTCTATAACCTGACTGACTTTTGTGCTTTTTATTTTCACGCAACTGAAGGAACTCTGATCTCGTCGTTCATGAACAAGGGAGCTTACCACCTGAAGAACCGTCTCTTCGGTGGAGGACGTGGACGGGAGGCTCGTATCAGCCCTGCTCATGCTGTCTTTAGGGTGAGTACAAGCTTAGAAATTAATAGGAACCTTAGCTCATGTCTTTAGAATTAAACCCCATTATTTAAAGAGCTTAACCACCACACTACAGATGCCAAATTTAATATTTTATTTGGCTAACACAAGGGGATTTTATTCAGCTCAAAGGGGACCCCATACACAAGGGGTTAACAGACCAAGGAATAACTATGCCTGCACTTATTCCATGGTACTGTAAGGATGGTCAGACAGAGCACAGGCTTCCTATTTGTTGTTGTCAATGTTGTATTTTGCCATCGACTCATTGGTGAAAAACTTCAAGAATGTAAGAATGCCCACGACAAGTTTTGGCGTTCAACAGCATATAAGTACCAAATAAGTACAGTATTTATATTCAATCTTACACCTTAATATGTAAGTATAAGTGTACCAAGACATGTAAGTGTAATGCTTGTAACAGAGATACAGTAGTACACAATTCTTTATTTTTACGAATACAATACCTATACTGTACCATACATACTTGTGTACAATAAACTTGTATTTGGATTACGATTTTGTATTGGTAATGTATTTTTTGTGTATTGTAGACAAAGATAGATTTACTATACTATATGAAGATGGGAGAGACATACTGTAGGCGGTGACATAAAGAACACTGTAGCCATAGGGAAGATGGGAGAGACATACTGTAGGCGGTGACATAAAGAACACTGTAGCCATAGGGAAGATGGGAGAGACATACTGTAGGCGGTGACATAAAGAACACTGTAGCCATAGGGAAGATGGGAGAGACATACTGTAGGCGGTGACATAAAGAACACTGTAGCCATAGGGAAGATGGGAGAGACATACTGTAGGCGGTGACATAAAGAACACTGTAGCCATAGGGAAGATGGGAGAGACATACTGTAGGCGGTGACATAAAGAACACTGTAGCCATAGGGAGGGTGAGGAAGATTACCAAAGAAGAAAGTAAAAGGGTTAAAAGATAAAGAATAAAGAGAGAATAAAGACAGAGTACGACACCCCCCCCACCCCAGGAGAGAAAAATAAACATGATAAACTTCGCAAGTGTCAGGCCTCGGTAGAATGTGTCTGTGCATTACCATGTGTAAGATGGAGTTAGTATTACTGCACCAAATATCCAAAGACCAATGACCATAAACTGATGTTGTATAGTTCTTCATATATATACAGGGTGTTCATAAATGATTACCCTGATTAAAGCATTAGAGCATTACTGTTCTTATGGTAATCATTTATGGACACCCTGTAGTTTAATGTAAATTCTTTGTCATATATTTGTTCAGCGAATGAGTTACAATTGATTTAATTATAGCTGGTATAAAAAGGGGGGGCTGTAAATTATTATACGTGTCTTTTGGGGTGATGGTACGACTTTTGGGGGCGATGGTACGACTTTTGGGGGTGATGGTACGACTTTTGGGGCGATGGTACAACTTTTGGGGTGATGGTACAACTTTTGAAGGGAGCGGTATGCCAAACTTTTCTTTTGGGGCAATGGTATGACTTTGGAGCCATGGCATGATTCTTTGGAGCCGGCGGTAATGACTTTGGGGCGAGAAGTTAACCTTTTGGGGGTGATGGCATAACTTTGGGTGATGGAAGCAACCAAAGATGGGTACAACTTTGGGCGATGGTACAAACTTTTGGGGCGATGGTACAACTTTTAAAGGATGGTACAAATTTTGAATGGTATGACTTTTGGGGCAATGGTACGACTTTTGGAGCGATGGTACAACTTTTGGGGCGATGGTACAACTTTTGGGGTGATGGTACAACTTTTGGGGGTGATGGTACAACTTTTGGGGTGATGGTACAACTTTTGGGGGCGATGGTACAACTTTTGGGGTGATGCATTAAGTAAACTTCACCCAGGTAATGATTTTATGTGTACGACTTTCAGTGCCACCATCGTTCTGAGTACTACTTATGAGTACTACTTATGAGTACCACTAATGAGTACCACTTATCATGAGTATCACTTTCGTTTATACTCTTTGACATATTTACGACCCAAGAGTACCATCTGTAAGTGTCATATGGTGTGAGTACTAGTTGTCATGCAGTGCCACTTGTGAGTACTGTGCCACTTTGATTACAGCCTGTCGTAGTTATTGTTAAATGGTTTATCTCTAGTTATGACTGCCATCTGATTGAGTGTCACTTATTTTGAGTGCCACTTGTCATAAATGGCTTTTATCATGAGTGTCATTAGTAATTAAGTCCATCTGGTGAGTGCCACTTGAGTACTACTGTCATGAGTAACAAGTCTCTCTTGTCATTAGTGAGATTCTAAAGGACATCTGTCATGAACTCTCAGCATCTCAAACTCTGCTACATAGTTCATTAAACTCATGAATTATCTTGATAAAATATAGAGCCACATGTCACTGTCACGATGTCATGGATGGTGGCACGTTATGGTGTCATAATGTCGGGTGTCATGTGGTCCCTCGAGATGTCAGGAGTCATGGATGGTGGCACGTTATGGTGTCATAATGTCAGGTGTCATGTGGTCCCTCGAGATGTCAGGAGTCATGGATGGTGGCAAGTTATGGCGTCATAGTGTCGGGTGTCATGTGGTCAACAGAGGATATCAGGTGTCGTGAAATGCCATGAACCCGACACTTGAGGCTATAGATCAAATGGGCTCCAGTCTTAATGGGCCCCAGTCTTAATGGGCCCCAGTCCTGTAAATCTTTAGCTTGGCCAGTTATATTGGAGTCTATTGGATAAGGGCCCACTATATTAAGGGCCATGAGGACTAGACCACATTAAGATTGGGGCCCATATGGAGTAGGTCCCTTAAGATTAGAACCCATAAAGACGGGGTCCACTAGGTTAGGGCCCATGAGGACTTGGGCCTATTGAACTTAACACCACACGTAACACATGAGATGACGTCACCACCATTCTATACAAACACTGATGACGTCACCACCATTCTATACAAACACTGATGACGTCACCACCATTCTATACACACACTGATGATGTCACTACCAATAACAACACCACCATTATAATATATAAACGCTCATGATGGTGTCAAAGGTCACTGGTTAGTATAAGTAAATGTCACTGATACTTGACTCCCTCAGTTAAATTCTTAAATTATGAAGTCAGTTTTCTCATGGTGGAAAAGTGTTACACAGAAATACGTTCAGATGTGGCTAAATACGTTCATAAGTAGATAAATACGTTCATAAGTGGTTAAATACGTTCATAAGTGGTTAAATACGTTCATAAGTGGTTAAATAAGGTTATAAGTGACTAAATACGTTCATAAGTAGCTAAATACCCTCATTACAGGAAGGATACAAGATCCAACACCACTTGTAAGGCGAGAAAGCGACCCAAAACCTTGAATAAAATCTCTCCTGCCATATTGTTGTCAAGTTCCCCAACACTCTTTTGTTCTGCCGCCATGACCTTCACCGCCTCAGCATTACCTATTGTCCGGAAGCAAAAATACGCGTGGTGACTCATTTCCGCTAATTTATTTTTATGCCTTAGATGATAGTTAAGATAAGTTGGGAGGATTTTAATTAAATAGTTTAGATGTATGTATGTAGTAATGTATAAGGAATGTCTTTATAGTGCTGTATGGACGTTGTGTTTATAACGAAATCATAACGTACAGTATAGATCTAAAGTGGATGATTTAAAGCCATCTCATCCTCCCCTTCACTACCCCCACACCCCAATTCAGACTCAAAACCACTAAACATCGCTGTCACTTTAAACCAAATTCTTCGTCATGAGTTTCCAGAACATAACGTCAAGGGGAGGGTAGGGTAGGGAGGTTAGGGAGGGGGTAGGGGTAGGGGGAAGATAGGAGTGGGGGGGAGGGTAGGAGTGGCGGGGAGGGTAGGGGAGGGGTGGTTTGGGAGGGGAGGGGGCGGGTATTACCTGTTTGCCGTTTCTCATTTGTAATCCGTCTCCAGGTACCGTGTGATGCTCAAGGCTGTGGGGAGGGGGGTTCTAATCTTCAGGTGATCCAACGTGGTGGTACTGGGGTGGGTATGGGGTATGGGATGGGCATGGTATGGGTATAGGGTAGGTATGTTAATATCAACTCACACTGATTGATGGTTTCTGTGTGTGTGTGTGTGTGTGTGTTTCGAGATCCCTGTACCTGTGCTTGTATCCGTACTCGTGCTTCTATGTTTACCTGTACTCAACATCTATACCTGTACTTGTGTTTGTACTCATACTTGTATTCTTCTATCCACACGGGTAATTTATATCTGTATTTCTACCTGTCCTTATCAGTTGGATCAGTATCACCTAAAATTGGTATAGTTATGACGTTTATCTATACCGGGCTGACGTCACTGTTCCCCATGACCCTGGTTACACGCGACCTTCACCCTTGTAATCCCAAGAACTGTGACGCATCCGCTCCCTAGTCCAACGACGTCATAACCTTTCCGAGCCAATCATGCTGAGCGCTACGTCACGGCTCCAGAGAGTGTAGCCAATGAGGTGGCAAGTTTGATGCGACGTCACAGTGTACCCCCTCGTGACTACGCCCACTCCTGGGGTCACCACCACTCCACCGCTCCCTCACCACCACTACCATCCAGTTTGATATAACCATCAGTGGGCTGCGGGCATCATCTGAGGCTCGTAAGGGAAGAAAAAAAAAACCTGTTTACATTTCTATCTGACGATTGTGATTCTGGCGGATAAGATTCACCAACATTGATCCACGAGTTAAAATTTAACCCAAGGAAATTTAATTAACCACCTAAATAAAATGGATGAAGAGGAGGCGCAATTTAACGAAGAAGAAGAAGAAGAAGAAGAAAACCAGGAGGAAGTGGAAGACTTACTGGAGGAGATCGATGAGACGTTTGACCGCCGAGACAACACCATCGGGGGAGACACCTGGGAGAAAACCCTCTATGATGACGAAGGGAACGAGATCTCCTTCACCTTCGACAGACTGTACATGGTAAGCTGAGTCCTGTGCCCTACCAGGTGTTAATTATATATATATTTTTTACTCTTATACACCGATTTTGGAGGCGCCCCTTGCAACAACTGTCTACAAGATGATTGGTTATTGGTTGTTAAGGGTCTCTCATTTAGCAATCAGTAGCCAATCATCTTGTAGGGATTATAGACGTAGTTATGGATGCTAACAGTAGGCGTGGCTCTGATGAGTTAAGGGGAAAATATGACGTGTGAATCTCTGAGAATTTGACCTTAATTTACTCTTTAAATGTCGTGATGAGTAAATACCATGATGAGTAAGTACCATTATGAGTAAGTGCCATTATGAGTAAGTGCCATTATGAGTAAGTGCCATTATGAGTAAGTACCATTATGAGTAAGTGCCATTATGAGTAAGTACCATTATGAGTAAGTGCCATTATGAGTAAGTACCATTATGAGTAAGTACCATTATGAGTAAGTGCCATTATGAGTAAGTGCCATTATGAGTAAGTGCCATTATGAGTAAGTACCATTATGAGTAAGTGCCATTATGAGTAAGTGCCATTATGAGTAAGTACCATTATGAGTAAGTATTATGAGTAAATGCCAAGATGAATAAAGAGTTTTAGTGTTCGGTGTTAATTTGGGAACATTGGGACTATTTCCATGTTGAATTGGTTTTGGTTAGATAAGGTTGGTTTTATGTTAGATAAGGTTGGTTTTATGTTAGATAAGGTTGGTTTTATGTTAGGTGAGGTTGGTTTTATGTTAGGTTAGGTTGGTTTTATGTTAGGTTAGGTTGGTTTTATGTTAGATAAGGTTGGCTGTATGTTAGGTTAGGTTGGTTTTATGTTAGATAAGGTTAGTTTTATGTTAGATAAGGTTGGTTTTATGTTAGGTGAGGTTGGTTTTATGTTAGGTTAGGTTGGTTTTATGTTAGGTTAGGTTGGTTTTATGTTAGATAAGGTTGGTTTTATGTTAGATAAGGTTGGCTGTATGTTAGGTTAGGTTGGTTTTATGTTAGATAAGGTTAGTTTTATGTTAGATAAGGTTGGTTTTATGTTAGGTGAGGTTGGTTTTATGTTAGGTTAGGTTGGTTTTATGTTAGGTTAGGTTGGTTTTATGTTAGATAAGGTTGGTTTTATGTTAGATAAGGTTGGTTTTATGTTAGGTGAGGTTGGTTTTATGTTAGGTTAGGTTGGTTTTATGTTAGGTTAGGTTGGTTTTATGTTAGATAAGGTTGGCTGTATGTTAGGTTAGGTTGGTTTTATGTTAGATAAGGTTAGTTTTATGTTAGGTGAGGTTGGTTTTATGTTAGGTTAGGTTGGTTTTATGTTAGATAAGGTTGGCTGTATGTTAGGTTAGGTTGGTTTTATGTTAGATAAGGTTAGTTTTATGTTAGGTTACGTTAAGTGAGTTTTTGGGGGTTAGAATAAGTTTGTCAGGGTTTTGGTTAGGTTAAGTTTATCAGGGATTTGGTTAGGTTAGGTTAATCAGGGTCTTGGTTACACTACGTCGGTATTTTGGTTAGAATGATAGGTAGCAACAGTGGTTGAGACACAATGTAAACAGAGAAATGAATGCAGCGTTGATAGTGATGACGTCATGGTTGTTACACCCGCCTAGCGTTCGTAATCACACCAACAGACGCCCAGGGAGGGAGGGAAGGAAGAGGCCACGTGTTGGGAGGGAAGGAAGAGGCCACGTGTTGGAAGGGAAGGAAGAGGCCACGTGTTGGGAGGGAAGGAAGAGGCCACGTGTTGGGAGGGAAGGAAGAGGCCACGTGTTGGAAGGGAAGGAAGAGGCCACGTGTTGGGAGGGAAGGAGGGAGAGAGATGAAGAAGGGGGAGGGGATTGGAGGGTATAATGGAAGGAGGGAACTATGTAGTGTGGAGGGAAGGAGGGAGTGAAGCACGGAAGTAAGTCATCGATTGGCACTCAAGCATCCTCCTCCCCCCCCAGACACGAGCTCCTCTACACGTGTTGTGGAAATGTGATTCACCGTGGCCAATCAGGATGCCCCCCATGACCAGTCGCCGTGAAGCTTGAATTATAATTGGACAAGCGTTTGGGGCAGATCTAGTTATCGAATACAGTTCACGTAAGGGTAATTGCTAACACAAACCTGAAATATATACAACACAAACCTGAAATATATATACAACACAAACCTGAAATATATATACAACACAAACCTGAAATATATACAACACAAACCTGAAAAACACAGCTTGAGTCATACATATTAATACAACACATAGACCAGTGTGTTGTGAAGACTTGAACAGCTGCAACACACAGAGCTCATTGTCTCCAAGAACAACAGTGACATAGTGTATTGGTTGGTTTAAAATCCTCCTTCTCCTCTCCTCCTCTTCTCCCCTTCACCTCTTCCTTCGTTTATTTCCTCCTTCTAAAGCTCCCTCACTTCCCTCACCTTCCTCCCTTTTCCCTGTACCTTCCCTTGCATGTGTTCTGGGTATCAAGTTCTATCTACAGGAGCGAACACAAACACCTGTAGAGTTTTTGTAGGTTCTATTCACTGGATAAACAGAGGTACACAAGGGGCGTGGCGCTCCTTACTCTGTCTGGGGGGTCAACTAGCCTCCATATGTCGCCAGGCACATTAAGCGTGTGGGACATGGTAAATACATTGCCACATGCTGCTAGCTAGGCTGAATAAATAGTGTATATAAATGGAGCACATACATATATACATACATAATATACATACAGCATACATAATATAGATACATCCCTCACCTTATTTGTATATAGATTAACCTCCATGTAAGGTAAATATTAATAGAGGTACCGTATGTAAATTAAACAATATGTCAGTGGTAATATGTGGAGTGGTACACAGACAAGGTTGGTTAGGTTTAAATCTAGTTAATTAGCTTATTAACATTAACAATCATATTAGTTGTACTAGGAATAATAATAATAATAGTATAATATTAAATGAATGAGAGAGAGAGAGATTTACACTACGAACCAACACCCAAGGACAGTACGTCAATTCTTCCCCCAAGACCCAGTACCTAACTTTCCCCCCTAGAGATCGTCCGTTATTTTCTTTCCTTAAAAAAAAAAAAAACACGTCCGCATGTCCGTATTTTAACCCCTAATAAAACCCACAAGAACAGGCCAGAAAACAAAATGGCGGCAATATTACACCAAGACTCTACACTAACCCAATACAGTCTCAAGATTTACCTACGTTAATTAATATATCGTAATTACAGGTAAGAAAACACACCAGGTTAAGTATCATCAGGTGTAGTGAGGATCTTGAAGGTCCTACTTGAGGTGAAACTTACGATCGTCCAAGAATTCGATTTAAAGGGTTAGGTTAGGGGGTTGATAGGGTAAAAACTGGGGAAAAATAGTAAATGGGGAGGAAAGAAAGGGAAAAAATCAAGGGTGGAATAGAGTGGAAGGGAAAAAATCAAGGCGGAATAGAGTGGAAGGGAAATAACTAGGTGGAATAGAGTGGAAGGGAAAGCGGGAAGAGGGGAGAAGACGCGGGAAAGAAATGGGTGCGGGAGGAAAGGCAAAGGGGTCATCGCTCGTGAAGTGTTTTTAAATCGTAAAACTGTGTTGAATGTTGAGTGCCTTCTGTGACGTCATCCCCTCCCCCTCCACACACACACATTCCCCACTCACCCCCACAAATCCCCCCACACACACACACACACACACACACACACACACACACACACACACACAAGGTTAACACACTCGTAACTATCAACACAATGCATCCACCAATTTGCCACAATGCACATAACTTATTATGACCCGCACCGAAGACATAAGGTCATATTAGGGGGATGATGAGGTCTGTCTGTCTGTCTTGAAGTCTGTTTGTCTGTTTGTTTATCTCTGTTTGTTCCTTCGGCTATTGATAAAACACCAAAGACGTTTTAGTGAAATATTTGATTAACTATTGTTTGAGAATCTCTCTCTCTCTCTCTCTCAATCCATGCATCTAAACTCATCAAAACATTACTAGTAGTCCCCAGTTCTATTAGGCCCCAGTCTTAATAGGCCCCACGAGTCTTAATAGGCCCCAAAATAAAGTTAACCTACTTATTACCAATGGCCCCTT